TTCCTTAGTGAAAATGGCTGCTTTGAAATGCCTTCTTTGTGGCTCTTTTAATGAATTGGTTCTCATTCTCTGCCACACCACCACTAACGACAAAATAATGACATTTCCTGTCCTTCAAATCTCCCCTCTCAGGTACCTTGTGTCTTCTTACACCTGCTCAGGTTGCCCTGGGTGTTTTCTGTGGCACTTATTGTTCTGTGTGTGGATGGGTATTGGAGAGGAAGCAGACAGGGTTTGTGGCCATTGATTCTCTGCTTCCTTCTAAGTCAGTGCTGCCAGTGTCTGGGAGTCTAGTGGGGCAGGTAGCCCTGTGGTTTCCTAAGATGTAAGCCCCACAGTCTAGCAGCTGAGTGGGATTTGGGAGCTATGCACTGCAGTCCCTGGCTGGAGTCTGGAAGAGGGGCTGCCTGAGCCCAGGTCAGGTGCAAACTGGCCTTTCTAAGGGTAGTGCTCCCCTAGGAAGATCTATTCCTGTGGCTTTCCTTTTTACCATAGAGACTACACTTACGGAAAAAAGAAGGCTCTTTAGACACAAGCCTATGTCTAGTTGTCTGTCTTTGGGGGCTCTTCAAGGGCCAGAACTCTTGTTAAAATTAGCAGTCAGGAAATTTGAACTGCAGATGGCTTTTCTTGGTAAGTGCTCTTGAGGACTGTATAAGCATTCTTCGGTGTTTTATGTCCCTCACAGAGTATTTGGTATTAGGGTTTTCTGTCCTTTAATAGCCAGTTTGATGATGTGAGGCCTAGTTCTTTAATGCCCTCTTGCCTTTTGTCCATGCAGATGATGCTTGCCTATGATACCTTATTTACTCTACCATCTTGGCTGGATGTTTGGAAACTCCTTATTGCTTTGGGATGTCACTTATAGTACCTTGTAGGGCTGAACTCCTCCCTCCTATCAGGAAGCAATGTTGCACTCTGCCTGGGCCAAGAACTTACAGATTAGGCCGGGGGTATAGTTCAGTGGTAGAACACTTGCCCACCATGCTCCAGACTCTGAGCTCGGTCCCAGAACATAAAACAAAAGCAAATAAAAATGAATTCCCATGTGACAGCTCTTCTGGCACGTTTGCTGAACTTGTTGGGTCAGGAAGTATGTTGATGGAGCTAGGCTTTCCAGGTCCTGAGTTAGCTGGTCATATTTTGTTATTTAAAAAGGTATTTCTGAGATTTCTCTCAGGAGTGCATTTGTCAGTTATTAAAGAAACAGTCTATTTCCTTGAATCTCTAAATTGAAGTTTTTTTTGTTGTGTGTGCCATAGTTGACTGCTAGTTCTGCATGCCCCATCAAGGGCTGGCTTGCCCCTCAGCTGGAAACCAGATTCTTCTCACCTGGTGGAGAAGCAGCTAGACCTGACTTGGAGGACAGCATTTGCCACTGTTGCCAGTGTTCCTTCTGTTGTCTCTTGAGCCTGGCTTGGGAGGATTTTGGGCACACTGAGGAACTTGAGTGAGGTCTGGAAACATGCCCCTGTAGATCTGGTGTTACACATTTGGTGGATCAGGTGTGAGGGGGCCTTCCTCCCCTTTCTGGGCTGAGGAACAATGATGGCTGCCTCAGGCGTGGCCTGACCAATTCCCAACAATGTGGTAGTGCCTGGAACTGTGTGGGATGAACCACTGACTTCTGCTTCCTCCCTCATGTGTGTCCCTGCAGGTTAGCTCTGTCAAGCTATTTCACAGTTCTGGGCCTGGGGGTTTGTTCATGGGGTGACACTTGGGGCCCTTTTCCATGTCTGGGCAACTCCAGCTGCCATACAGAGTCCATTTGGAATGTGGCTTGCTTGTCTTATGAGGACAGTCCTGGCTTATCATAGTTCTTGCTGGCTTTAAGCCTAGTAATTACAACCTTTCCCCACTTAGCATTGTCCCTGGAGACAAAACATTCTTGCTAATTTCCAAAGAGAGAGTTGCAAGAGTCCAATTAGACTTATATTGTACGCTTTGGTGATACGGACAAATCATTAAAGTACCAGCTGAATGCCAGAGCTTTGTCCAGCCCCTGGTTCCTCTTGTGAAGTAGGGTAATTCTGAAGTATGTATGAGCACACATGACTTTTTGCTGAGCCAGAGGACCTGTCCAAAAAATAGCAGCTTCCCACAAATAAGTGGTGTTCTTTGGGTGCCCAGGCCAGTTAGAGGTGTTGTGTCTGGCTGTGCAGTGGGCCTCATACCCAAGGAAGGTTTAGTCATTGAGCTTCAGGACTCTGATGAAAGGTCATGTTTAGTTTCAGTGGATCCAGCAAGCTAGGGAGCTTTGTGCTCATCCCTCATTCTTGGGCATGTGGAATTACTGTCTAGAATTGCTCTGTCTATCACCTACTTGGAATCTTTGGTGTCAAGTTATATTTATCTTTGTTTTTGTTGTTGCTTTATAAAAATTGATAATCCTGCTACTTTAACTACTGATTTTCATTGTGTAATTCCCGTCTCTTTTAGAGCTATATTTGTAACATTTTTGCAAAGTTAATATTCTTTAAATTTTGCATTCTTTTATACATTTATTTCACTTTTAGTTAAAAATAATTTCAAGTTTACAGAAAAGTTTTTTTTTGTTTTTTTCCCGGTACCGGGAATTGAACTCACTACCTGTGCTTGCCAGGCAGGCCCTGTGCTGCAGCTAAATCCCCAGCCCCCAATTTACAGAAAAGTTACCAGAAGAATAAAAGACAATCTGATGTACCCTTACCAGGTTCACCAGTTGTGTAACCATTATATCTATTTTTGAATTCCATAGTATTTTATTAAATGTATACATCCTACTTTACTAGATCACTACTTCTTGTATCTGAACTGTTCTAAGCTTTTGCTATAATACTCAAAGCTGCAGAGGAAATCAACCCCTCCCCCGATACTAGGACCAAAACCAGGGCCTTGTACATGCTAGGCAAGAGTTCTGCCACTGGAAAATTTGGTGTATTTCTCTCCTTCTCCCTCCTCTCCCTCTTCCTTTTTCCTCTTCCTCAACTTCTTCCTTCTCTTCCTTTGGGAATACTTTATAAATGTGGCTTTAAAATACTCATTTTCTTAGGCTTAGTTTCTAGTATGAAGTCAAAGGGTAATAACTGTATATCCAGGAGGTTTTATATATGGGGATTAATCACTAGCATTTGAGCTTGCTTCAGATTCAACCTATTAAACTTCTACATCTGAAGATTTCACTGAGTCGTTATATACCTCTTAGCATATTAGAAAATGAAAACTCACATCTTGCTGTTCATATTCTCTTAGATATTTATTATCACGTTAGTTGGTCTTATTTCATTGATAAAGTGTGTTTGGTTGACTCCTTCATAGTGATGATGATCTTGGCAGACTCATTAGAAGGAGAACCTATCTGTCCATGGAACAGGAGCAGAACTCCTGATGATGGCTCCCTGTCTGGGAAGGTATGCTTCTAGTGAGCTGACCTTCCCAGGGCTGGCCTCATATGTAGAACCAAGGCTCACACTCTGCATTGCTGGGCTGCCCAGGTACCCACCAGTTCTCACCATCTGCTTCCTCCCTTCTTCACCTTCATGTTTGTTTTGTTGGGGTCATTGGATGTTCCATCTAGATTTGTTTTTGTTCTTGTTATGTGTTTTGCGATCTCAAGGTGAGTATTTCTGTTGGTTCTTTTCTTTGGTGGCCAGGAACCTTATTCTTGGTTGCAGATACCCATGTCTTTCCTGTGTTTTGGATTTACTACTTTTCCAGAGCTCTGGCTTCCTCATGGTTCTTTTTATATACCCTTCTGTTTTCACAGAGAGAAAACCCTTCTCTCTTCTTATAATGTGCAGATGGTTGAAGAAACAGTTCTATGTCCACACACCCTTGTTTACTTGAATTAATAAAATTACTCATTCAGTCATACTCAGCCTCTTATATTATCATATGGAATGACTTCTACCACTTTTAAGTGTCATTGTAGACACATGGCTTTCCTGAGATGTCTGTTTTAGTGCTTGAAAGGGCATGGCATGGTCAATGACAGTCCTGGTGAGAGTTCTCTGCCCTGCCTCCATCCTTTAGAGACAGGTGGGGAGGCTCCTGGTTTTCAGATGCACTGTGAGTTCCAAGACCATACTGACCCAAGTTAAGTACCTTCCTGGGTTCTTTAATTGGGAGGAATATTGGAGACCAGCAGCTAGATTCAAGTTCATTTTGTGATTTCTGTCACAGTCTAATGGTGGGTATTCCAATGTCAACAACTGAGAATATATGTCAGTGACAGTACTGGAGCTTTTATGGGTATGGGCACACCTTTTATGGATTTGGCTTTAAATACTATATGATCCTTTCTCACTGCCCATTCCATTCTTAACTATGTATTTCTTCTTTCTCTCTCTCTCTCTCTCTCTCTCTCTCTCTCTCTCTCTCTCTCTCTTTTTTATTTTGGAGTCAGGGTCTCGCTCTGTAGTCAAGGCTGGCCTTGAACTCACTATGTAGCCCAGGCTGGCCTCAAACTTGAAGCGATCCGAGTGCTGGGATTATAGGCATGCGCCACCACAGCCGGCTTCGCCTCATTTTCATATTTCTGTATCTCATTGACAAGTGTTCTTGTAGTTGCTTTGTTGACAATTGCCAAATTGCTTTGTAAAAACATTTTAACAGCCAAATGGTTTTTTGGTGCCAGCTGCAGTTGTATGAGTGTGCTTACTTTAGCATAATCTTGTCAGCATTGGGAGTTTCTGAATTGTAAACATATTTAATCATTGCTCTTATCTACTCAGCCCCCTCCCTAACTAAAAATGCACAATTCTATCTCTGGTTGCCTTAGCTTAGCTTTGTCAGGGGTTGATTGGAGACTGATGCAGTCCTGGGGGAGAGGTAAGGACCTGCTGAGGAGGAGGTGGGACAGCAGCTGGATATGAGGAGGGAAGAGCAGCAGCCCCAAAGCCATCAGTAGGTCAGATGGGCTTCCCTGCTCTAGGCAGTGTCCTGAAGTGGTACTTATACTTAAGCCATGTGCCCAGGACCAAAGAGCCCTTTGTCTTAACCTCTGTCCTCTGTGTCCACAGTATGACACCGTTCCTATCCAGTCCAGCGTGGTGTTATGTGCCTGCCCATCCCAATCAATGGTGAGGACACAGACCGAGTCTGGCACGGCTCCCAGTGTTCCCAGTGGTGGCAGCAGGCAGGGCCCCACCATGGATGGCACCACAGCCGAGTCCCGGCCAAGTGCCAACCCCCTGCAGCATGCTGCCCAGCCGCCACCACAGCCTCGAAAGAAACGACCTGAAGACTTCAAGTTTGGGAAAATTCTTGGCGAGGGTTCTTTTTCGACAGTGAGTATGTGCTGCCACTGCTTGTTATTTCCCCTGTCTTGAGGCTCAGAGCTGAGACACTTGATTTCCAGGCAGTGTTATTCCCAGGACGTGGCTCCAGATCCCTCCTGGGCCCACCTCCTGTTGTAAAGACCGGTGAAGGCCAGGGATGTAGCTCAGCGGCGCAGTGCCTACCTGGCAAGCGCAAGGCCCTGAGTTTGATTCCTGGTACCAAAACGAAACAAAAAAAGAAGACTGGTGGAGGCTTCAGGACTGGGCTCCCCTAGCAGACCATATGATTTTGTTTATGAAAACTTCAAAAGGCCTCTTTTGCTAGACCTGGTGGTGTGTACCTATATTCCCAGGACTTGAAGGCTGAGGCAAGAGAATCACTTAAGTCCAGTTTGAGGCCAACCTGGGCAACATGATGAGACCTTTTCTCAGGAAAAAAAAAAAAAAAAA